AAAAATAATAAATAATATATTTAAATATATATTAATAATTTTAATAATATTATTGTTTTTTAAAAAATAATTATTAATTTTTATACTACATAGAATAATTTTTTAAATTAATTAATATATTTAAAATAATTAACATTATAAATAAATATAAAATAAAATATAGAAATAATTTTAATATAAAATATTGTAAATTTAGAAATTAAAAAATATATTTAATGTTAAATTAAGAATATTAAGAATATTAATAATATTTATAAATTATTTTATATTGAGATTACCTTATGAAAAGGAATTTATTATAATTCGGCTAAACCATGGTATTTTTTGAAAAAACTACCGATATCTATAAATAAAAATAAATATTAGGTTGAAAAAGGACCTTGGAAATTCCAAATATTTTGTAATGAAATTAAAAGGGACCCATGGTAAATTTTTCAAGATTGAAACCCCTTTATTTTTTAATAAATACATTAGGTTTCTGGAAAAATATATAATATTATATAAATTTATTAAAATATTCCATTATAAATATATAAATATATATGTTAATCCCGTATACCTGGCCATTAAATACAGATATATAAGAGGTGAAAATGGGCCACGTGTCACCCGTGGCCAGAGCCGAGCGGGTCGTTATAATGCACACGAAAAAATAATTCCATGTAATAACAACCGTGAGGTAATACCAGTACTAAGAAATAACCTTAGGTTTACCACAGTAGGCCAAATAATATGTACAGACCAATTTGGATACAATTTTACAACGACGCGGCTTCAGATAAAATCCTTAAAATAATCGGGCCAACGAACTTGGCCCTGGCCACATCAATTTCAGCGGCCACAGAAGAATGAAATAGTGACGCCACAAAGCACTGTATGGAAAATTGCCTAGAAACATGAGGCATCATGTTTGAATCAAGGAAATCAGCCATGATATCAACGCAATTGTAAAATGAATGTAATATAGTGATGTGCTGCTGATAACAACGGGGGTATTGTAGCAGAATCACAACATTCTCACTACCCCCAACCCATGTTGCCGGCCACTTGCCAATGAATCTCATGAAAACCCACACTTTAATTTATTTCCAATCCTCAACGTTCAATAGTGGAAGTAACCAATCCCATCCCTAAGAGGAATGCTGAGGGACCAAATCATGATAGGTAACCCCAAGTCCAAGCAAGAACTTGCTAGCTACTCGATGAAATTCAGCATCGTCCCTGGAGCATAATGCAGGAAAACCCACCTGTGTCTTGTATTTTGTTACGAGAATCTTGTGTCACTTTGCATCACCACATACACGAGTGAAATTATCATTGGAAATAAATCCAGATTCAAGGATACAAGGAATAGGAATTGGAAGATAGACACTAACCCAAGTATCATCAATAGTAAATACAGATACAAATACCATCCGGGCTATTGGATACTCAGTGGGCAGCAACTGAATTTTCGCCAAGTACATAATTACTCGCCCAATAGCTTTACTTCTAAATCTTTGACGTCACCCACAAAATGTCACACTCAGCGCAGCCCGGAAATTATATTTACCAGAAAATCCCAAAATTTTCCTTGCCCAAGATCCCTGCAATGCATCAAGCTTTGCATACATCGTGGGTCTAATAGGCTCAACCCTTTCTACAACAACCACTGCAACAACAGGGGGAGGAAAACCACACTCATTGGACAAATTGAGAAGTTCCGTGAATAAGGCCTTTCCCATATTGAGGACAACAAAATCCTGATTGTTCAAAATTAATTATTTATCAATAAAGCAACCCAATACCTTGTACACACTGCATTGTATATCTTGAATATCCGGTGGGTCCGCACCATAGCAATACATAACCACCATTTTTTGTGGGTCCAGGTTAAACCTTGCGCGCGCCATTTATTCATATATAGGCAAAGCAACATGCACTGCATTAAATACAGCTTCCCTTGAAGGAAATATGGCCACAACATCATCAATATACAAAAGTAACCCAATTCCCTCCACCCCAAGCAGTTCCATACACATGTACCGTTCATCCTTAGTATTTTTTTCTGTAAATTGAATTGCAAGTTTGCGCAAAAATTGATCAGATGTTTTTGTTATCCATGCCTAAATTATGATACCAGTAAGCATAGCAGGAGCGAATTTAAATTCCATGTCATGAATCTGTAAAGCCTCAGGCGTTAAATGGGTCCAAAGTCCCGATATAATATCTGTAGCAAAGCTCGACAGGATGGATTGGGCAGAAGGCCCCATGGTACACAACAGATGCCGGAAAAAAATTATCAGGAATATGAAAAATTAAACAACAAATTTGCGACCTTGAGGAACTCCAGCCCTAAACTTCAGCGCAACTGATAACATCCCATTAAATTGAATGAAAATGGAATCCATCAGAAAGAAATCAAACAGGAATAACCATTCAATTTCCACAATGCCTGCCAAATAACATATAATTAAAAGTGTTTTTTGATCTACAATATCAAAAGTCCATTTGAGGTCAACAAAAAAGCATACCCAAATATTATTTAATTTATCAGGTAATTATTTATTTATTTTATTTTTTTCTCGTTTTTTTATATATAATAAATATATATTTTAAATAAATATATTCGATAATTTTTTGTAAAATCCCCCCTCATCACGCCCCTATAAAATAACAAATTTTTTGTCAGAACATATATAATATGGACTAGTGTGTTGTTATTTACCTTCTTAAAAAAAATATAATAATTTTTAGTAAAATTATTCTCTTCCATATTATGTCCCTATAAATGAGAGGTTCCTTTCGAAATCCTACAAAATGGGTTGTTGTTCCTATTTTCTGGTTTTACATGTTTCAAAAAGTCTGGTTTCCAGATTACCCAAAATATATTTTTA